TATACCAGATCGCTTAAGCGATCTTCTGTCATATACCAGATCGCTTAAGCAATCCATCAGATCCAAAACACATTTTCAGCCATCTCCACCTACAATCGGTGCTGTCACCCCTAGCTACTCACAATGCAAGAAAATATTCAACAAATTTCACTCCTTTCAACTTGCATTACATCAAACACAACCCAACAACCTAAACAACTAAATCAAAATCAAAATCATAACCCAAACCCCATCCATTATTAAATCTTTGTAAATCTAAATATAAAATATAAAGAGGAGATACACATACTTAGACGAAATTTCAGGAGGAGGAGGAGGGGATCTTTGGCGGAGAAGATGTTAATGGTGGAGGAAGAAGAAAGTGTTAATGGCGGAGGAACAAGAAGATATAGAGGAATGATGAAGAAGAAGATGTAGAGGAAGGAGGAAGAAGAAGATGTAGACGAAGAAGAAGATGCAGACGAAGAAGAAGATGTAGACGAAGCTAAGAAGAAACAGCAACCAAGGTGGAGATGCGTTAATGGCGGGAGGAAAAAGAAGGTGTTTGGGTTTGTTTGCAAGAATTTCAAGTTTTTGGGAATATAGTAGTATTTTTAATAGATTACATAATACTTCTTTAATCATAATTAAACACTAATCAAGTTTAATTACCCTTAATCAATAATATGACTATTTAGTTAAAACTTTAAAACTTGATAGCCTTTTAATTAAATTCAAACTTGAGAGGTTGTTTTAATAAACTGCCCCCCTGTTTTGATGTGCCAAAACTAATAAAAAAGATTGTTTAAAGAACTGACAATGTGCAAAGATATGTCCTAAGTCATAACCAAAAAAAAAATGTTGGGTGCGTTTGGTTCCCTATTTCTATCCATATTCCCAATCCTATTTCTCAAATATTGTTTGGCACATTAGAAATATTACTATATTTTTTAATTACTTTTAGACCTCTTAAGTTTATTAATTTCATTAAACACCCCCAGAAAAAAAAGTTCAAAAATTAGCAAAAACACCCCTAGAAAAAAGTTCAAAAATTAGCAAAAACACCCCCACCCACCCATTCTTGCCAGATTCTGGCAACCACCATCAGTGATAGCCGGAATCTATCACAACGGCTTACATCTCGATCGAAACTAACCGATATTCACCGATTTGGCCTTTTTTGGCCAGATCTGGCCGGCCAAAGAAATGACCATCGTTGACCGAAAACGACGGCCATATCTTTGGTCATCGCTGACGGCCAACGATGGGCTTTTACGGCCATCAACGGCCACATCTGGCCGTAGATCTGGCCAGAAAAGGCCAGATTTACTCGTTACGACACAAATCTGACCAGTCTATGCTGTAACGCAATTTTCCGGCCAGATTCCGGTGGTGGTAGCCGGAATCTGACATTGTGGGTGGTGGGGGTGTTTTTGTCATTTTACAAAATTTTTATATATTAGGGTGTTTAATTAAATTAGCAAACCTAGGGGATTTTTTAGAAATTTTTAAATTTTACCTCGTAAGACTCCCCTATCCAACTACCCAATATTATTCCCAAAATCCTATCCAAAATAATAAACCAAACGCACCAGTTGAATTTCCAGGTAGAACGGCCGTTCATGTAGATAGAACACCTGTTCCATTCAGAATTTCTGAAAAATAATTTTCAATCAAGCCGTTCCAATTTGGAACGACCTTGTTCCATGACCCCGTTCATGGTTCTGCCCAAAATGAAGGAAACATCCACTCGAGCTGAAACTCAAGTCATTTTGGAGCGACCAAATCAAACGACCATTGCAGCAAGCCATTCCAAACATTTGAAAGACTTATCCAAAAAGGCTAACACACATCCACGAGTTGGACATCATTTGCGATCTAAAGAAGGAATGACCATTCCTCCAATCCGTTCTACATGAACGATGTTGTTCCACTACCTCGTTTATAGCTTTGGAAACTTGACACTCTTTGCGATCTGAAGAGGAACACTCATTTCATGAAGAAGAATGCACGTTCCAAGCTTAAGTCAAGATTTTGGACTTAGAACTTTGGAGCTCAAGTCAAGATTGTGGGAATTTCAAGTCTAGCAAGAACGACCTTGATAAACGCCCATTCTTAGAATTCTTCAAAGCCGTTCCTGGAAGGAATGACACAATTCTAGGAAGTCGTTCAAGGTTCTGAAATGTTTAGACATAAAGAGATCCAAGATGGAACTCCCATTCACAATAGGGGAACGACCATTCCATATAGGGGAACGATCATTCCAAACCGTAAGATTAAAAAAAAAAGTGATTGTTGGTGTCAGAACGCTAGTTCTCGATGTTGGAACGCCCGTTCCTCTAGGTTCTGTAGCTTTGTAAATTAAATGAAGCAACGACTCTAATTTTCTAAGGGTTGGTGAAGACTTAAATAGAGAGAGTTATTGCATGAGAAAAAGAGAGATAATAATGCATCTATCATCAATCAATCTTGCAAACCCTAGAGCTCATTCTTGATAAAAAAATCTCTCATTTGTACTAAAACTAATATCTTTAGAGAGAAACTTTGAACCCATTGTGTACTAGACTTATGTCATGCCTTAAAGTTTTGTTAACCCTTATACAATTATTTTGCTAGTTTTGGCACATCAAAACACACTAGGGTCCAACAATATATATATAAACCCTAATTCCCTTTTTCACATCTAGTTCATGTTAATGTTTGGTTTTAAATAGATTTGAAATCTCTCTTTTTTTTTTTTTTTTTATAGATGTGTTCAATATTTGTAGTGGGAACGAATTCCTAAAATGAGAAAGGAGTGGAAAAAAATAAATTGTAATTTTATTATTGTAATTATGTTTTGGTTTTAACAATAATTCGGTTCTAATAAATTATGCAATGCAGTCCAGTTCAAAGAACACAGGAGAACGAAAAACGAGGAAATGAAACAGTAATAATGAGATATGTGTCTTTTAAACAAGTAATGAAAGGATTATATTTATATTAGAATTATAACATTTTAAAAATATTTAGTGAAACTTATTTAGAATTTTCAAAAATATTACTCTTGGAGATTTATTTTATATGCAGTCGATAACATCATAACTCTCCTCTCCTGGTAAAATTTGAGTCGCCGACAAGGCAACAGTATGAGTTGTGCCCTCAAACTCATAGAATACGCTAGAACCCATCATATATATCTTTCTGGTTCTACAAATGCTTCTCACACTTACTAGAAAAGTAGAAGGAATCAAACTTAAGGCTGCCATTACACACAAGAAGACAAGGTTACACGTGGCAAGTTATGTATACCAATTACCGGGTGGCAGAGCTTTCTAGCAACACCTCAAGCCCTCAATTCCAGCAACTTCTAGTATCTAAAGGACTTTGCTTACCATTACTATAAATACCATCAACCCTATCCCTATCCCTATCCAAGCCACGTGAGAAGTTTGAGAGAAAAGTCAGCGGTTTGCCCAATACAGTCACACTAGCTATCTACCATTTTGGAAGTAAAAATGAAACCCATTGATGACAAGAAAGAAACGGTGACAATCCGCGCTGTGAGTCACGATGAAGAAGGTCGAAAGAGAGTTGAAAAGACGGAGCTAAACACGCACAACATCGACACTATCAAATACGTGGAGAAGAAACTCATAGACAAGGGCGTGCAGCGCATGGATCGCCACCCCGCCAACGGGATAGGGATCGGCAGGCCTCCGCCGAAGTCCGGGCACGGTGGGAAGTACACGTGGGAGGGTCCGGATGACCTGGCGGAGAGCGAGTTGAACGCGGCTCCGCCTGCTATTGACGAGAAAGATCCGAACTATCTCGATGAAGAGGCTGAGGAGAAGATTCTGAGAGGAGTAAAGAGTGAGGTGGCGGGGTTCGTTGTTGGGGATGTGGATGTGGCGAAATTGGCGGACGAAAGGGAAGGAGTGGCGAGGGTTGAGATTGATCCTCACTTGAAGGTTAAGTGATTGTGATTAAAGGAAACGATGATGATGATCTTTAGTGTGTTTTTATGAGTTGTTTGTTTCGTACTGTTAAACCTGAGAAACGGATTGTAAGAAAGATAAATAATTTATCTTCAAACACGTTTCTTCAACTGTGTTCTAAATTATTTCGTATGTTGTTGACTGTATGAAGGGATTAAAGCTCAATATTTTCTTGTTCAATTGGAGGGAAGAATGAAAATCCTCAACTTAATGGGCCTCGCAATGAACACCTTCTTTTTTTTCTAAGTTAACAGCAATCAAGTTTTTTATAAACGAGGCCTTGATTTTTTAAGAAATGGGGTGGTTTGAAATACATATAGAAGCTTTAAATCTATTTTATATTTTTGTCTTCCTCCTAAATTTTAATAAATTATCGAAGTCTTTTTTAATTATTTAATGAAAATATATTATATTTATTTGTTCAGTGAAAATATATTATTGAAAACATATAAAAAATATCATAAAATAGGATAAATTTAATAAAAAAATAAGTTTTAAATATGAAATTATAGAAAAAGAATATAAACAAAAACTTAATTATGCATTGAGGATTAAAAGGGTATTCTGTTAGAATATAAAATAAAAAGGGTAAATTTAACGGTAGAGATACTAATAAGTTTGATGGAGTTAAACCATTTTCCATACACTAGAAATTGTGTAGTTCCAACAAAAGGCCAGACCCATTGTTGGCCCAATGTTACTTCGCAAATTTGCGTTACTCGCACTAAGATTTGGCAATATACAAAGTGTTCTTTAACCGCAAACCAAAAAAAAAAAAAAAAAATGGTTTAATCAAAGTAATATAAACTGGTTTAATCAAAGTAGCGAATAAATCACACCTTGGAAAGAATGTTTCTTATAATACAAGCAATAGGTCGTTAAAATTTTGCTATTATGTATAAATATTTCTCTTTCGTGAACATTATCTGGTAGTTCAATTATATTACGTTTGGATTGAATAATTAGACCAACTAATCGAATTTGAATTACCTACAGAGCTTTCTCATCAGTGGATTGAGGCATCAAAATTACCTGAATCTATTTTCATTCATCCTTATGTTACATGTACAAATTCATTAACAAACTGATGTATCTACTTTCAATTTCGTTTATTTAAAGTTTTAAAGATTATAGAGAATACATAAATAGTTTATATTAAAAAAAATTTGTATATATATATTATTAGTTTTGTAATGCCTGAATTTCCTAAAGGCATAAATATAATTATGTTTATCGGATATTACTTGCATGTTAAGTAAATAATCCAAGAGAAGAGATATTCTCCCAAATAAAAAGCAAAATCAATGGGTGCGTTTGGTTCATTATTTTGTATATGATTTTAGGAATAATATTAGATAATTGGATAGGAGAGTATTACGAGGTAAACTTTAAAAATTTATGAAAAAGCCCTTTGGTTTACTAATTTAATTAAAGACCCTAATATATAAAATGACAAAAACACCCCCACCACCTGTAGTGCCAGATTTCGGCCACCACCGCCGGAATGTGGCTGAAAAATTTCGTTACAACACAGACCGATTGGATTTGTGTCGTAACGCGTCGCTAAGGCCTTTTCTGACTAGATCCACCACGGATCTGGCCGAAAAATGCCAGATCTACGGCCAAATGTTGTCGTCGACCGTCAGAAAACGTCAAAAGAAGTCCATCTTTGGCGACGGCCAAAGATATGGCTATCGTTTTCGGTCAACGACGGCCATTTCTTTGGCTGTCGTTGACCACCAGATCTGGCTTTTTCTGGCCAGATCTATGGTGGATCTGGCCAGAAAAGGCTAGAGTGGTTAACTTCCGGCCATTTCTGATCGGCAGGTAGGCCGTTGTACAAATTCCGGCTACCACCAACGGTGGTTGCCGGAATCTGGCAAGTTTGGGTTGATGGGGGTGTTTTTGTTAATTTTTAAACTTTTTTTCTAGGGGTATTTAATGAAATTAATAAGTTTAAGGGGTCTACATGCAATTAAAAAAAATATAGTAATATTTCTGGAATAATGTGCCAAACAATATTTGGGGAATAGGATTGGGAATATGGATAAAAATAATGAACCAAACATGGCCAATATTAAAGGAGGAATATAGAGAATTAAAGAAGTGAATATTGCTATGATCCAATATAGAATAGCCAATGTTGATACAGAAATCTGCACCAACCAGCGAGATCCAATCGACCTTGTCGGGATCGAAACTGATGTGTGCGTGATTATGAGTAATCAGCGATAAATGAATGATAATGCCAGAAAGTAAATGATAAAGAGAACTTTTAAAGTGGTTCGGCGAAGTTAAACTACCTACGTCCACTGTGTTTTTTGTATATGTTGTGAGAGCTTATAATGTAGTTTTAATTCAGAATTCGTATCCTTCTCCTCATCGTTTTAGGGGGTTTATATATAAGATTTACATAAAGGAAAGAGCGAAATTAAGGGGATTACAAATGATTTGAATCACAATTCCGATATCCTTGCGATTCAGCGTCATGATCGCATAACGATAATTGTTGATCCAGCCATTCCCGCGATATCTGGGATTTGAAGTAATCTGGGGATTGATTGATTAATTCCTGAGATTGTCCGCGATTAGCTTGTGTTGGGTCGAGCTACGACTCAACGAGCTTATGCTGCATCGATCAATCATAGTTGCCGAGATCATTCTAGGCTGAGCTATATCCTCTCGTTGGCCCGAGCTTGGCGAAAAAACTGAGAACACAAAAAGCTCGTGGATGGTCGACATGTGGCCACGTCCAAGGGCAAAGATCGCTCAACGAATGAAGGGTTAGGATCAGTTGTGAGTCAATGGTCGAGATTGAACTCCGCCCTTTCGTCTTCCATGCAAAAATCACTATAAAAGGTGGCGAATATTCATAACAACCATTCTGAAAGTTCTTCCACCCTCTTGCTTTTCTTTGTCGTTGCTCTTACGTCGTCGCGGTGGTCTTTCATACGAGTTCTCAACGCTCTTCTTTATTCAGGTAAGACTTCTTTCTCTTTCTTGCTCATTTTTCTAACTTTTGTGCTAAAGGGTGGTTGTTGTAGTGGCCGCATTGGATGTTTTAAGGTTTTAGTAAGGTTTTTGGGGTGTATTTCTGGCGATCTCGGGTTTTAAAAGGGTTTAATCGCGATGGCCGCCGGTGTCCTGGGTAGGTCGCGTGACTTTGTTGTGTTGCGCGAGCTATTTTAGGTGCCTGAGATGGAAGCGAATGTGGAATGGTCACCAAGTTGTTCAAGCTCTAACACATGTTCGCTTCTTTTTTCAGGTACCTAAAGTTGAGTTACAACCATGTCCTCCTCTAGCAGTCGCACAATAGATCGAATGTTCGATTCATCGATTGGCTCGGTAGCACTAGGGGATGTGTCCCTCGAGATATCCGAAGAGTTTGTCGCCAGAAGCTTAGACCTTGATGCTGCAGGCTTGTTTGACCGTGCTTCAATCCAACAAGCTCATTCCCTGCCGTCTCTAGCTCACAGGCTATGAAAAGAACCACAATCCTCGATCACCCTCAGGGATCTTGAACGCATCAGGGCGACCTATGCGCCGCAGCTCAACCTGATGGCCCCAGGAGAACACTATTAAAGTCATGAAAGTGACTTTATTTTGGAGATAAAAAGACCCTATGTGTGATTAAAATGAAATCATTTTGAGATAATTAAAGAATTTATGAATTTATTCACGAAAATTGCATCCTAATATTTTTCTTATGAATTTAACATGTTTGAAATGATTTTGGAAAGGGTATGAGTTGATATTAGGTTGTGGTTTATGGATTAGGGTTGATTTTGTCTCATTTATGCTGTTTAGGGGGTAAACTGTCATATTTATAAGGGTTGATTTTGTCACTTTTCAATCATGCAGAGACCAAAGCGATATTTTCCACTTTGTGTATAAAAAGAAAGTGAAGGGTCGCAAATCTGGAGCGCCATTCATCCATCCACAATGCTCGCCGCCGACGACTCTTCCTCTCCCTTTTCTGGTGACCTTTCGTATTCCCCTTGCACCGATCATCATTATCCCAACAACACCACAGCGATCACGCGTTTTGTCGTCGTGACTTTTTGCATTCTAGCCGTCGTTGGGCCATTTTCCAGTGACCTCTCGTGACGCTTCACTTCTCTGGTGGCCGATCTTCCTTCCCTACACTCAAATCTATCCATTCCAAGCTTCAGCTGCCGCAAAAAACGCCGAAATCCTCTATCGCCATCGCCGCGCCTCTTCGCCTTCTAGCCGCTATCTCTCCCATTTTCGGTGACCTTTCATCTCCCCAGGACCTGATCTGAACTCCCTATCACCTGAGCTTTCCATTGGTACCTTCGGATCCTATTTCCGTCACCATTTGCCTGAAGACCCGCAAAAAACTAACGTATTCCAGTGAGTGCGACTGATCGTATTCCGAGCTGTCCATTGGTCATTTTCGCCCGTTCTCGGATCATATCACTATCGGTTACTTCCTCTCCGCCATGATTAACTTCATTTCCACTGCTTCAGCCTCCGTCGACACCACCATGAGCGGCTGAGATCCCGATTGTCTGTTACAACGCAGGTAAGATCGAGATTGACTCCACTGCTCTCCTCATTAGCTCTCGACTAGTTGGATGAGCCCGATTGTAAGACATTTGGTAGTATTGTGTTTCGAATTATATTTGCTTTCGTTTCATGTTTGATTTCGATACTTTAATATGGTTTGAGCATAATTTGTGATGAATATAGTTGTCCATTGTGATTAAATGTTTTCATAGAACTTACTGAATGATAGACGTTGGTTTGAGATAATTAAATGATGAATATTGCTTCTCATTACTTCGCATCGATTGTAATTGAGTTGTGTTCGGATTTAATGTCATTTCTACTGTTGTTGCGGTTATTGTGAAGTGGGTTGATTGGATGATACTGTTGACAAATTCTATTTGTTAATCACGTACCAACTAGTGGTATTGTCTTGTAGTGTTTGTGGTCGTCAATGATAGTCTTTAACCAATCGAACTTGAGTGATCAGGTGAGACAGGATAGATTATACCTAAAATGCCGGCAAGCCATTTCATTGATTTACCTTGCCTTGTAGGCTTAGGGGATCGCAGAGGGTGGAGGAGAATTGTGTGAGTTGGTGTCGAACCAAAACCGTAGCGGCAACGTTTTTATTATAAAGTCTTCATTAGTTTTAATTTCAAGCTTTTTTTATTTGCATTTAGTTTGTTTAGTTTAATTAAT